TCACCCAGGTCCCTTAGAGCATTCGTCCCAACCTTGATTGTTCTGTCAGGACGCGAGTCATCTAAGATCAGGTCCGTATGCTCACCAGCTGGCTGAGGGCGGAATTCATCCGACCGCTCCTCTGCCAATGATTGCTATTTTCTTTCTTTTCTTGCGGCCCCTGTCTGGGATGCCTTTCTCTTCTTGCCGCCTGCTTCTTGAACAGGCGCACTCTCCTTGACATTGTCAAGGTCTATTTTTCCACCGCTCGACCCAGTGGCCATAACAGTGGGCTTGACATCCGAGAGATAGCACTCACGGGCCATCCTCTGATCTCCCCTTAGGGACCCGACTGTTCCATTATCCCTCTCAAACTTGAGCAACATAAGAGATGGGATTATAACAGCCTTGGAATTATTCAGGGTTGGTCGTCCGAGAATCATGTTGTAGGCCGAGAGTTCTTCTACTACCAAGAACCGGACTACCATGTGTCGTCCTTCCCCTTTTTTGCCCAGGCGGATGGGTAAATCCACTCGTCCCACTGGGTGGACGACTCCTCCTCCAAACCCTACTAAAGGGTGGGATGCCGGATGTATGCAATCAGTCTGATATTTTAGTTTCGACAGACATTTGCTACTGATGAGATCTGAGGAGCTTCCGGTATCTATGAGGATTCGGCCAACTCTCTGGTTGGCCACTTTACATTCAATAACGATAGGGTCGTCATGCGGCCCTCTTACCCCTCCTAGATCTTCTTCAGTGATGACAATCTCAGGAAATGAATATTTGGAGGGCCGTTCTTGGTGAACGGAATTTACATCTAACCGTCTGATATTGTCTTTGTTGCCCCTAATAGTGGGGCCGCCTCCTGAGAAGCCGCCTGCAATGGTGTAGACGACTGCATCATCTGTATCGGAACTGTCGGCCTGTTGATTCTTTTTGGCCGACTGCTTTTTCGAGGAAGTGTTCCCCGTAGATTTCTTGACATAAGTGTCAAGATCACCTTGCTCAGCCAAGCGGTCCAGATACCGCATGAGACTGATGCATTCATTGGTGTGATGACCAACATCTTCATGATAATCACAAAATTTTTCTTGGTTCCGGTTGTTTGCAGAACCCTTCATGGGGACCGGCTTCTCAATTGAGATCCGTCCCTTGATTTCCTTTAGGATAAATTGGCTATCGTTGTTAAACGCATACTTTGGGGAGTATGGTTTGAATTCTTTTTTCTTTTTCTGGGCCGGCTGTTTAGAGGAATCAGCCGCCCAAACCTCTTTTCTCTTCTCGTCTTTGTTTGACGACTGTTTCTGTCGTCCTTCTCTTTTGTCGGACCTTCTCCCGTCTGACTGCTTTACCGTACTGCAAAGATTAGTCGCCTGTATATAAGCTTCCGCTTCAATCAAGGCCTCTTGAAGAGTCGCCACCCTCTTTCGGACCAAATCAAATTTGAAGGTCGACCCGTCTTTGAGACCTCTGAAAACGTCAGTATAGGCTACTTCATCCGGTAACCCTTGAATCTGTATTCTCATCAGGTTAAACCACCTGATGTAAGAACGAAGCCCCTCCTTCTCGCCCTGCTGAATTGTTCCTAAATCAAGGGTCGTCTTCTTCGCAGGGATGTTCATGGCGAAGTTGGAGGTGAATAAGTAAGCAAGCGTCTTGAAGTTATTTAGACAACCAGTCGGCAGGTTGCCGAACCATTGTTGTGCGATTCCTTTGAGAGTCGCTGGGAAACACTTGCACCAAGTGGGATCATCCAACCCTTGAAGGTACATCAGGTTGGTGAATGCCATCAGATGGTCTTCTAGGTTAGTAGTGCCGTCATAGGCGCCTACTAATACATTTTTCACTTTGACCGGCTGAGCGGCTTCAGTAATTTCCTTGGAGAAGGTCGACGGCTGTTCACCATGTCTAAGCAACCGTACCTGCCAATCCATAGGTTGGACATTTTTTGCTGCATGTCCACCAAACGGAGGTGGCTGTAAAAAATACTGTTGTTGCGGTACAAACGGTAAGTTTGGTACCGCCTGGTCGCTATGAAAGCCGGACTGACGGGAGGTGCCGCCTGAATGACTCTCATGATACGACTGAGTATGCCTCATCGAGGTATTTCGCAGACTGTCTTGGAAGTTTGAAGTAGAGACCGACTCTGACAATCGGTCACTCTTCTTCTGCTCTAGCAGTAGCCGAGCGTCTGTGTATGTTTTCCTCGACCCGTCCGCCTGAATATGACGAACAGGTTTCCTATTTCCTGGAGTAGGAAAACGGTATTTTGTGAAATCAAGGGCAGGTGGCTCCCACTTCCTAGATTTAGGATGAGGGGTCGCCTCTCGCCCTTGAACTGGATTCCTCTTCCGTGAAGTGGAGGGTTTCTTAGCCGACTGCTCCTTGTCCAGAGCAGGCGGCTTCTTGTTGATCAACTCTTGAATTTCTCCCTTGAAGTCCCTCATGAAGGTCATGAGTTCGTTCCTTGTGATGGGAGCAGACCCATCAGTCGGCTGCTGCCGAACAGGCGGTGCGCCTACTGGCTCGCTTCCAGTTTGAAGATTTTCCCGTTCCCTCCTTTCGGTATGACGGGTACGTCGGGCCCTTAGGGTCCCGTCTGAAGCTGTGTGAGCTTCAACTTCAAATTCATTCTCAGTATCGTGGTCCGACTGAACTAGAGGGTCGTCCAGGGGACGTCTCTCTTCAGGAGTCGGTACAAACGTGGATGCCATCTCAGAAGTACTCTCCCCACAGACGGCGCCAAGATGTTTCGGGGTTTTCTGATGTCCTGCGGGAGAGTTACAATTCCGAGACTGGAACCGGACGCCTGTACCTGCAAAACAAACGGATGCTCCGGATGATTGGAGATCCGCCTCCGACGGTCAAGTTAGTACTTGATTAAGGAGTAATTAATGCGGAAATTAAAGTGATTGGGTCTCTCTAGGTGAGAGAGTTTAATGTGTGTAATCTGTGTAATCTCCCTTAATGAGGATTAAGGGAGGTATTTATAACCTCGGGAAACGTGCCAATCTAGGTTTAGGTTAACCTTGGGCTGATTGGGCTTCCCACGGAAGTTGGGCCTAGGTGACCGGTTATCCCAGGTGTCATGGGAAGGACACGTGTCGTGTCGCAATTGGTCCAGAGTGGACGGATCATTGCTTGACACGTGGCAGGCTCCTATTGGCCAATGTGACGGACACATGGCGGAACCTGATTGGTCCACTTGTCAGATGGTGATTGGTGGGGAAAAATCCCCTAATCACCTTTCACCATATTTTTTCCACCACCCCAAACTAGGGCTGTGCAAAACTATCCGAAAAACCGAAAACCCGAAAAACCGAACCGTAACCGAACCGAAAAATTGGGTACCCGAACCGTTGAAAGAAAATTGGTCGGGTAACTGAACCGATAAGAATTTAACGGTTCGGGTAACGGGTACCCGTTAACACTGTTTCGGGTACCCGAATGTCCCGAAAATATTTTTTTTCGAAATCTCAAATGGAAAATGTCAGTTTTTTTTAGAAAAAAAGAAACAGAAAATAAAGAACAAAAAAGTGAAAACCCTAAACTTCGTTCTTTTCTCATTTCTCAGTCATTCACTTCACTCAGCCTCCATCCCCCTCTCTCTCCTCCTCTTCTCTAATGTCTCTGCCTCTGGTTCTCTAATCTTCATTCTCCATTCTCCATTCACTCCTTCATCTCCTCCATTGAAGCGGCTCTGAGCTTTCACTCCTTCATCTCCTCCATTGAAGCGGCTCTGAGCTTTCACTCCTTCATCTCCTCCATTGAAGCGGCTCTGAGCTTTCACTCCTTCATCTCCTAATGTCCTCAGGTAATTAACTAATTATCTCTTTGCCAGATCTAATTATTTGCAATGAATTGATTAAATTCAATTAAACTTAAACTCTTATTTTAATTTCACAGATCGCAGATTCAATTTAGGGCTCTGCGTACTTCGACTTCTCCATTGAAGCGGCTTCTGAGCTATACGCCTATACTCCTTCATCTCCTCCATTGAAGCGTACTTCGACTTCTCCATTGAAGCGGCTCTGAGCTTTCACTCCTTCATCTCCTACATTGAAGCGGCTCTGAGCTTTCACTCCTTCATCTCCTCCATTGAAGCGTACTTCGGCTCTCCATTGAAGCGGCTTTTGAGCTTTCAGTGTTGAGGTAATTTACATTTTATAGTATCTGACTATCTGTGATTTTTTCGGATTTGTAATTGTTTTTTTTTCCTGATTTTTTATTGTGGTACTATTAATTTTTTTTTTGTTTTTTTTGGGAGGAATGGTACTTATTATGGTTTTCAGAATTGAGGTTTTTTTTTATTATTTTTTGTCAAGTTGTGTCTGTTAGATTTAGATGAGTGAGTAAGGTGAGATTTCTGTTTTTGATGTGGAAATAAGGTTGTTGAGAAAAAACAAGGATTCAGAGTGATGTTGTTGTGTGATGTTGCTAAGCATCTATAGTTGTTGTGTACTAATGTTGTTGAGCATCTATAGTGTTGTGTGATGGCTTCCTGTGTGTTGAGCATCTATAGAGTTGTACATGATAATCATGTAGTCCAATATGATTTATTGTAACATGAGTTAATTACAAGCATTTTAAGAAAACGTTTTAAGATTTATTGTAGTCCAATATGATAATCATGTAGTCCAATATGATTTATCTAGTTGCTTCTACTCAGGTTAATCTGTCAATGTATGGTTTAACAGAATTGAGTAATATTCGTCAGCTGGAATTTGGTTTAACAGTAACTTGTGTGGCTGTGTACATCATCTTTTGGACTCATTTTTAGTAATACTTGCCTAAGGTACTGCAAGGCTCACAGAGTGATTATATGGTGTAGTTGTACCAATAGTTTTTTTTATTTCACTTGCTTGTCTGAGATTTTATGATTGTGTATTTGTGTGACGTGGAAAAGTTTTTGTCCTGTTTGTTTCTAATAGACATATGTCCTAGATGTTCACCCTTTCAACCTTCATATAGCTATGACTCATTCTTGTTATTTGTGTATACATGATTGAACTTATTTGTTTTTTTTTTCATTTGTAGGAGTGTATGGAATCTGGAAGTAGTGGGGATATGGAAGACTCATCGGCTACAAGTCAAGCTCCTCCAATTCCAAGTCCTCCTCCCGAGCCTTGGGAGTATGACCCTTGTCCAATGACGGAAAATAATGACCCCTTTGACCAGCAAAATCAATCAAACCAACCTTCTGAACCTGCTCGGGAGGAGCCTTGGGGTCATTATTTTCCGTCATTGGACAAGGGTCATACTCCCAAGGCTCGGGAGGAGGACTTGGAATTGGAGGAGCTTGACTTGTAGCCGATGAGTCTTCCATATCCCCACTACTTCCAGATTCCATACACTCCTACAAATGAAAAAAAAACAAATAAGTTCAATCATGTATACACAAATAACAAGAATGAGTCATAGCTATATGAGGGTTGAAAGGGTGAACGTCTAGGACATATGTCTATTAGAAACAAACAGGACAAAAACTTTTCCACGTCACACAAATACACAATCATAAAATCTCAGACAAGCAAGTGAAATAAAAAAAACTATTGGTACAACTACACCATATAATCACTCTGTGAGCCTTCCAGTACCTTAGGCAAGTATTACTGAAAATGAGTCCAAAAGATGATGTACACAGCCACACGAGTTACTATTAAACCAAATTCCAGCTGACGAATATTACTCAATTCTGTTAAACCATACATTGACAGATTAACCTGAGTAGAAGAAACTAGATAAATCATATTGGACTACATGATTATCATATTGGACTACAATAAATCTTAAAACGTTTTCTTAAAATGCTTGTAATTAACTCATGTTACAATAAATCATATTGGACTACATGATTATCATGTACAACTCTATAGATGCTCAACACACAGGAAGCCATCACACAACACTATAGATGCTCAACAACATTAGTACACAGCAACTATAGATGCTTAGCAACATCACACAACAACATCACTCTGAATCCTTGTTTTTTCTCAACAACCTTATTTCCACATCAAAAACAGAAATCTCACCTTACTCACTCATCTAAATCTAACACACACAACTTGACAAAAAATAATAAAAAAAAACCTCAATTCTGAAAACCATAAAAAGTACCATTCCTCCCAAAAAAAACAAAAAAAAAATTAATAGTACCACAATAAAAAATCAGGAAAAAAAAACAATTACAAATCCGAAAAAATCACAGATAGTCAGATACTATAAAATGTAAATTACCTCAACAGTGAAAGCTCAAAAGCCGCTTCAATGGAGAGCCGAAGTACGCTTCAATGGAGGAGATGAAGGAGTGAAAGCTCAGAGCCGCTTCAATGTAGGAGATGAAGGAGTGAAAGCTCAGAGCCGCTTCAATGGAGAAGTCGAAGTACGCTTCAATGGAGGAGATGAAGGAGTATAGGCGTATAGCTCAGAAGCCGCTTCAATGGAGAAGTCGAAGTACGCAGAGCCCTAAATTGAATCTGCGATCTGTGAAATTAAAATAAGAGTTTAAGTTTAATTGAATTTAATCAATTCATTGCAAATAATTAGATCTGGCAAAGAGATAATTAGTTAATTACCTGAGGACATTAGGAGATGAAGGAGTGAAAGCTCAGAGCCGCTTCAATGGAGGAGATGAAGGAGTGAAAGCTCAGAGCCGCTTCAATGGAGGAGATGAAGGAGTGAATGGAGAATGGAGAATGAAGATTAGAGAACCAGAGGCAGAGACATTAGAGAAGAGGAGGAGAGAGAGGGGGATGGAGGCTGAGTGAAGTGAATGACTGAGAAATGAGAAAAGAACGAAGTTTAGGGTTTTCACTTTTTTGTTCTTTATTTTCTGTTTCTTTTTTTCTAAAAAAAACTGACATTTTTCATTTGAGATTTCGAAAAAAAATATTTTCGGGACATTCGGGTACCCGAAACAGTGTTAACGGGTACCCGTTACCCGAACCGTTAAATTCTTATCGGTTCGGTTACCCGACCCGTTTTCTTTAAACGGTTCGGGTACCCAATTTTTCGGTTCGGTTACGGTTCGGTTTTTCGGGTTTTCGGTTTTTCGGATAGTTTTGCACAGCCCTACTTTTCATGATTACCTACCATCTTAATTTATTATTTAGAAAAACGGAAGACAAATTTTTCTTATAAACATATACAGTATATATAGAATAATTGTTAATAGTGGTCAAATTGTTTATACGAATAATTGTTTTTTTTTTAAGTGAAATGGCATAAGATCTTCAAGTTGGGCTTACCACTGCGCTATATAAGTTGCTGTAATGTTATGTGCGTGCAATTTTATTTACTTGATTTTTTTAAAGTGGGGTTATCCCGTGCTGGCTCCGCCTCTGCTTTCTGCTATGATAGTACTCCTGTATAATACTGTTTGGATAAACTATAAACAGAAAATCGGTCAGAATAATTTGAGGGGGAAAATTAAAGGATAAATCTTATTTAAACTTATGCTAGGTGATAGATATTATAATTACGTCTACTGTGGTCATCCTAAAAATGACCATTCTTATTCTTAAATCTCATTGGTCGATTTTTCCTTTATTTTAAATACTTGATCAAACCTCTCTTTTTTTTTTTTTTTTTTTTTTTTAATATTTAAGTCATTTACTATTTTCTGAAAATTATTTTTTTGTTTTTGCGAAAATCTTTTTTTTTTTCTTAATTAAAATCACTTTTTAATGAAATCCAAAAATAAGATTAAATTAAAAAAAATTTAAAATAAAAATCGTTATTATTCATTGTTCAATTCATCAACATTCTTCCTTGTTCTTGTTCTTTGAGTTCTTCATCCATGGATGAAATTAACCACTTGTGCATCACCTTTATTCTGTAAATACATTCACGCGACGACGAAAATTGAAATTATGCCCGATTTATTTTTCGAAAATTGGGGCTTTTGCAAATCTGTGTTGGTTATAAATCCTAAAATAATACTTTTTAATTGAACAATCTCGGTCAATGGATGCGAAATAGACAATTATATGTAAACGAAATATGAAATTTTCAATTATTCTATAATCTTGGTTCATTAGGAAAATCTCGCAAGAAACAGCAAAATATTTTCTTTGATACCCTATTTGATCCAAAAAAGCAAATATGAAATTATAAATCTTGTTTCCGTGTAAGGGATTTACCGAAATACTCATAGGACATATGTGAGTCTGTGACACACATCTTTATTAATTACTAGGTTAAGTCACGTGCCATGCACGGTTATAATTAAATTTTACAACAAATAAATTACAAATAATGGTGTAAATTCAACATTAATTTATCTTAAAAAAATAATTTGTAACAAAATAACTTGAATTTTAGTTTATACCAATACCAAATACTGAAATACGTAAAGGTTATTGAATTGGATTGTATAAAAAAATAATATAATAATAGAAATTTAGAAGCTATAAGGTTTTATATAATAAAATTAAAATATTAGCTTAGATTTGTACTCATATGCGAATTAATATACATCTATCCTTAAATTATTAACACATTTTCACCTAAATATGAAAATTTATTTGATTTCATTTTACTTTAGAATAATCATTATTTCGTAATCAATTTTTTAAATATATTTTTAGTGAGTCGTAGGAGTTTTTTTTTTTTTTTTTTTTTAATAATCATATAAATATTAGAGTAATTAGATTAAATCTTCCAATATATGTTATGTATACTATAATAGAATGGATTTGGTCTTATAAACGTTATATAATTTTAAGATTTATATAAAGTATGCTACCAAATGATATTTTTTTTAATTAAAATAAATTTTATTGTCAAATGATGAAAGTTGAAGAAAAAAATTCGATATTGATAATATTATAATAATCTTGGAAAATAATATATTACAATACCTTATTTTTAGTCTATCTTAGTATTTATGAAACTATGGAAATAACTATTATTGTAGGTTATAAAATGAATGTCATTAAAATATCGCAAAAAAAAAAAAAAGGAAACAAAAAAAGGCGGAAAATTTTTTAACCAGGAAATGACAAGTGTCATTCCAGGTTTCGCCTTTAGTATAGGTTTATTTATAGATAGACTAGGTGTTAAGCCCGTGCAATGCACGGGTTCATTTTAAAAATTTGAGTCAATTTTTTTTTTTTTTTTTTAAATTTCCATACTTTATATTTTATAAAATTCTCCTTTGATTACTACCCTCTAATTTTTTAAAACTCTATTATGAAACGATTGAAGGGAGTAAAATTAACAATCAAATACTATACTACTTATTTTGTATATACTATATGTAGATGGTATCCAATTATTCCTTATTGAAGACACTAAGGGCCGGTTCAGATTTACTTATTTTCAGGTTAGTTCATTTCAGTTCCAATCAGTTTAGTTCAGCTCCAATTAAGTTCAGTTCAACTCCTAATTTCCTTCTCTCATAAAATATTCGTTTCAGCTCAGTTTAGCTCCAATCAATTCAGTTCAGTTTAGCTCCGATTAGTTCAGTAAATGTAAAAAAAAAAAAAGGAAGAAAGAAAGTAAAACTCTTACTCGTGGCTGCCTGACATTCACAAATATTCCAATATAGAGGTGAGTTAAGATTATATGACATACTTCTAGCTCACTTAGTAGCTAGGTGGGATAGTAATGGTTGTAAGGAATACGTTTGTTTGGGTCCTTTTTCGCAAAGTTTAACAATTTTGGCGGAGCTTGATTTAATTTAATAATATCCCGTCCGATTTTTCTCAAAAAAAAAAAATATATGACATACTTGTATTATTATAATTATTATATTTTTGAAAAGTATATTTGACTATCTAAATTGTTAAATTTATTAAAATTATAAAGATGATTAAAATTTATCATTTCAATTAATTAATACAGAGTAATATAAATTTAGGTTACTCATGAAAACTCTATAAGGTGCTAAGATCGCTTACATAGGTTTTATTTTTTTATTTTTTTATTTTTTACTTTTTTTTTTTTTGTGAAGCTTACATAGGTATTTAAAATAGTCTTTATCACCACTATAATTAAACGTGAATACAATTACAAAGTATAGTGTATTCATTTTATATTTCATAGCTATCATTTTTTTTTGGTATCTAATTCTAAAAAAATTAATGAATATTGTTTCAAAATTATAACAATTGTTTTTTTTTTTAAATTAATAAATATCGTTTCAATGTTTATGGAAGATGGCACGATTCTTAAAAATAAAATAAATAATTATTTTATTACCTTTTACTATAATTCTTAGGTCGACAATGTTGAAAGAGTTTATTAGGTAATAATTATTTATTTAATAGTAATAGATTAGGTAATAATAATCAAAGAAATAGCTAAATAAATAAATAAATAATAAATAATAAATAACAACATAGTTTAAAAAGCAACAAATACTATTCCATTCAAAAAAAATACGAAAATGATACTTATGAAGTTTAAATATCCTTTCGCCCCATTAAACTTGTTTGATCTTTATATAAGAAGTTTTGATCGTGAAATTAAGCCTGCAATACATATACATATATAAATGGTTAGTAAATTCAATAGCATTTTATTTTAAAAGTTAAATATCTAGCAACAAATATCTGAAAGAGTATATACCTTCACTTTTTTAAATGGGTTGTTGGTGGATTCGTTGTCATTTTCCTTATAATTATCAGTTTCATCATGAGAACGTTTTCCATCTTCCTTAACTATATGACTTGTATCATTTTCTTTCATTATTGCATCTTCCTTGTCCTTTCTAAAGAATAATAAAATAATTATATTTTTAAGAATTTTTTTTCAAAACTTTAAATGAAAAACATATGTTAAGAACACTTGTTTCAATAATTTTCATCAAAACTTACCTTAAGTACACTTGTTTCAATAATTTTCGTCACAGTGAATGTTTGTCGTGAAACAGCCGAGAAACTTGTACTTTGATTTTCCAATCATTTTTGCTCGAATTTAATTCTCTGATCAAATTAAGGGTCTGTTCACATTTACTGAATTGATCAGCTGAACTGAACTGAACTGATTGGAGCCGAACTGAACTGAATTAAGCTGAAATGAATATTTTATGAGAGGGAAATTAAAAGCTGAACTGAACTGATTGGAGCTAAACTGAAATTAAGTAAATGTGAACAGGCCCTAAATCTGTTGGAAAAAATAGCACATAAAATCATAAGCGAATAATCATAAAGTATTTCAAATAAAATCACGATGTAAGTAACAATTATATAATGTAAGTAACAATTATACATTCCTACCTTATAAAAAGTAGAAAATAGCTCTTAGGAATAGTGTGCTACCAAATATACCCTAAAAAATATGTAAAATATTGTGTACAAAAATGTATATTTACTTTTTTACCCTCATTAATATGCTTACTCTCATTAATATATTTAATTATTTTTTTTTCTCATTAAACATACCATCAATTAATACAAAGTTTTTTTTAAAAAAATAAAATAATTATAATGTTCTGTACTTCATATGTTATTATTATTATTTAAAAAGGAAAAAAAATTGTATGTACGGAGACTTTGTTTATTACCACGAGATGATTTATTTTTACTCCTTTGTGGTTGCTCTTCTTATTTACAATTTTGTTGTCCTTTAATTACAAACATTGTTAAGGTTTATTAGCTTTTTAATTGTACATTATTTGATGGCACGCACATAAACAACGTGGAATTTAAATGACATTCATATTAACTAATGATATTTGAGCAGATGTTATCAAGAGGTATAAATAACTTTAAAATCCTAAAATCGAGGGACATCGATGATAGAAAAAAAAATGTATTAAAAATGGATAGAATTTAAGAGGAAAAATATAACTAAGTGGCTATTACTTTAGTATTAGATATACATATAGATATTAGATGGTCGTAGAACATTGAACTTACATTATTAAGTTTAATGCTACAACGAACATTTCACATATTATTACTCTGTATGATCAAGCTCAAAAAAAAAATTCGTTTGAAGAAAAATACATTAAGTATTATTGAATCATGAAAATCAATTAAGACTTCTAAACTAGCGTAAGATATGAAGGGATGCAAATCAATTAAATATTATTTAATAATAATTTTGAAGTAACACTGCTAAACTTTTGAGAGTTTTAA